TGAACACAAGTGACGCAAATGCATGACTGCCATATACATAATATAAACATTCGAAGTACCTTAGTACTTTTACTAGTAGCACAGCAATTAAAAAATACTGTTTTATGTACAAGAATGGGTACTGGCATGCGCTTTAATAACATTAAAAATTATCCTTTTGCAAATTATTTTTTCTAGTATCTGGACATTTTGTTAGTTAAACATTCATCGAAATAGCCAAACCCATTGGTCATTTAACTGTCTTATCATTGCGAATGTTACTGAAGGTAAATAACAGAAGGTGACTGAACTGCACCCGCGAGAAATGGTAAGCTCAGTGCCAGATTTAAACGAGAACGGCTTCAAAGATTTCCTGCTCTCTCTTCCTCTGCCAATAACCTATCAAGAGAACTTTCGAATTGGCAGTACTTCAAATGCGACATGCCGCAAAAATAATACACTCTTAAGGATATCCATGCCTCCTCTGGGATTCGAATCCGCGCACTTAAGGCACTTGGCTTTCATACCATCATGCACATGCGGTGGAACATGCTAACAGAAATGCCAGGTATTTGCCGAAAGATTGTTGAAATTTTGGATTAGAAAAGCATATTTGTTTATAAAATTGATTATGAAAAGCTGATCTAAACGACAGTGATTTTATATTCAGGTCCATACATCCCTGTGATATAATTAATTCAAAACAAGCCTTTGATATAACAGATTAGGTTCTGTGCTACTGTGCTAGTGATATTAAATTGCGATGGATGATGTAATCATGTGAATAATTCTGAATACATTTATATTAAATTTATCTGCCATGCACTGAAGAGATTATCAGCTAAAGTTCTCTTTCTCTGCTCAGTTTTGGATGCTTCGTTAAGCAATTTACTATTGAATCGTTTCCTATTTCTAGTTCTGGAATCAATTGCAGAAAACCGAGAAGTTCTGTAGCAAAAAAAAACTCAAGAAACATTAGTCGTACTCTTGCTTGGAATTAAAACAGGGGCTTTCCAGCTCCTAAATCAGGCGTCGGCACACATCGAGGAATGCCTTAATTCTTTAGAAGATTTGTGTAAAATAAGACAAAAGCAGGCACATTTTATGGATAAAAACAGTTCTAAGTAAACTGCAAGTCAATTCTAATTACAAGAATAGTACACGTTTATTATTTGCGCACTTACCTACAGAGGCTGGGAGAGAAGAGAAAGGTTTGCTCTAAAGAAACTAAAACATTAATAAATTTTAGGAACAGGTCCTCAAGATGTAGTAGTTAACTCCTTACCAAATATGTGCAATATTCGTTATATGTTTTACTTTATATGTGTGACTTCTTCATACATGTGTAACTTCAATCTAGCAAGCGCATATATCGAAAGCGACATGTTGTAAAATTTGAAGATCCAATGATCATAAAGAATGCAAGTATATTCGGGAAATAAAATATTGATTGCTTTATGTTTCATTTAACTTCCACTGTATTTTGCATCTGAATCATATAAACGTAATTTTTTTAATTCCAAGAGAAATCTTTACTTCCTTTTGTCCACATATGATATAAGTGACCATTACAGCCTTCACAAGTTTTCATGCTTATTTTCAGTTTATAAAATCATAAATATACATATTTTCCTATTCTTTACTGCTATAAACTAATAAATGCTTAAACATAATTTTTCATGCATGCTGTCATCCATGTGTTGAGATTATATACCGCAATACTTAAATTTATTTAGCTACTTATTTTTCCTTCATTTAAATTAAGATCATTCTAGAAGAGAGTATTGATTACGAAGCGAAATATGAAATTGCTTGATAGAAACTTAATGATTTTCAAATATTAATTTCAAACATAATGCACTGGGAAACATCATCAGCTTTCCTAGAAGTTATATCCTTTAATAATACCCGCATTTTTACTGTACGCATTTTAGAAAAATATAATGAAACCTGAGATGAGACTTAACGAAAGTTTCCCCCCAGAATTAAAATGCCGCAAAAATAATAAACTGCTATGTTTCTATAAAACTGGATACATTTGATAAGATAATTCTAATCGAAACCAATTCTTTTTTAAATTGAGTTTATATTAGCAAACTGCAGATGCATATATGTCTTTGAAAAGAGCTGTGTTTAACAGGGAAAGGTTTTTTTTTTTTCGGGGGGGGGGTCTCTTTAGTAAATTTTGTTCCGCATTTCCTCGGAAAATGGGAAACACATAAAAATCACACTTCAATCTAATATTAGTACAGCTTCAATGCTAGAGAAAGAAGACAGTATTTAATTTATAAAGTGCTGCATAATTTTGAAATCCATTATCTCTAGAGTATGAGTAAATGTTTTAAGAAACTGCTCTAGAAACAAAGGATTTGGACTTAGTAGATTATATCGAAAATCAATGTGTTGTGGAGGATATTCTAAAGGAAGAAAGGTCGTATTTACCTTATAGAAAACGTCGAGAGACTCTATGCAGCCAGTCCGTTCGCCGAGATTTGAACTAAGCCTAATTTTCAGTATTTAGTGATTTTATCCGCTCAGCCATTGGTGTTTCAAACTATAAGTAAATACGAAATGTGTAAAGATGCAATATACTAATTTGTTTGCATTAAAATTAATAAAATTAATATCCTAAAATTAAGATGACCCTGTAATAAGTATCATTATCTACTGCAATTCAAATCTGTGTTTCAAAATCAATTCAATGCAATGTTTATCAATTCATTACAGCAAGTGAATAAAGATAAAGAAATATGTAAAACTAAAGCTAAGTCATTAAAATATCTGTACAAGGAACATAGAAAATAAAATAGAACCACGCGATAAAATTAATTATTTATTATTCAACGTGCAGGAACAAATTGCTTAAATAAAAGTTGCGAAGTATTTTCTCCCTCATTTCTTCATGCTTTCGTGATGTAAAGGTTAGCACACTCGGCGCGTATTTGAGAGGTCCAAGTTCCTGTCAGGGCATTGCTCATTTCTCGCGTTTGAAAGCAGGAGACAAGAAAAATGTACAATGTCTGGACAATGAAGCTGGGACTCGAACCTGGACCTATGGAATACGCGCCAAATGTGCTAAGCGTTACACCACGATTGCATGTAGAAAGGAGAGGACCCTTTTAAAGGGCGTCTGGGGATGAGGGAACCCAACTGCCAAATGAACCCAACTGAAGAATCATCATCCACCACACATTTTAGTTCAGACGCCACTGTAGGCTCATTAGGATCTTTTAAGCAGGAGGCGTGAAGTGATATACCACGAAGGCATGCAGAAAGGAGGGAGAAAATACCTCATAAAGTAATTTAATACTCTGCGAATAAGACTTATTTAGAGCTAAAAATGTTATTAGACGTCTAAGAATTTCACATATTCACGCTTTGCCAGTAAAATTTTGACTGACATGGGTATTGCTTTTACATGTATTATAAATGTTTTGATATCAAAATAATTAAAACCAATATTCTACTGTATTTATATATATTTAGTACTGACTGCGACGAAAATGGACTATTCAGTGCTATAAGCTGAAAATTTGTGAAGGAACCCACCTATGTAAACCAAATGCATATTCATTTCAGTAATTGAATTGGAGAACTTGACAGTAAACAGTGCGGTTGCGATGCGCAGGTTGTGTTGTCAATGTGATATATTACTAAGCAAATTCTGTGCTCATACACGCCACGTGAATGACAGTGTAATTGTCAGAAGCACTCAGCTTTATGCAAGAATAATCCTTTGACATAAGGGAAGTGTTCGATAACACAGGAAATGTTTCGGTGTTCCGGCTGCAACTAATATAATACAGTAGTAAGGTTCACGAGATATGTATGCATATGTTAATTCCCCAAGAACGAGATCTGAAAATACTTTGTATTGACCTTATAAAAATGCTGCAGAATTATGCATTACAAGAATAATGATAGATAGTTCAGATGTTTTATTACAAAGCCTGAAAATATTATTGCTAAGAGATTTCATAAAATTCTCTTATAATAAACAAATTAAACTAATACAGCATATTGTATAACGTATATACAATTTCTTAAATTTTCTGATGTATCGCCCTGTATTATATTTTAAGAAATTAAATAATAAAGAATCTGCACAAATGTACGTATGTTTCTCGCATTGGGATAAAACAACGGTACTAAAGCCATCTAATTTTGAATGACGTAATCCTACTGTGAATATGGCCATCTGGAAGCCCAAATTTGAAATTTGGAATTTATTTAATTATCTATTTCATATTTTGTAAAACTTTAACGAATTTTTCATTAACAAACTCAAGGATTTCAAAGCGAGCAAAGACAACGTTATCTCCAGCGCGTGAGACTGTGTATCGGCAATTCTAAAGATATGCTCAATTTAAAATTATTTTGCGACATTGCTCTTGAACTGAATTTTACGGTTTAAGTGTAAAGACCATGATATTTAATAAATAAAGGTAACACACAAAATATTTAAAAAATGCCCCTTTAGACGTAATTTGAAATCTGAAACCTTTCACATTTTTATTTTATTTGTTTTATTTATAAAACAGGAAACACATTTTATCGATTGGCAAGGATAGGTAATATATTTTTATCTAATGGCACAATACCCTTTTTATGTTGTTAGACTTCAATCTAAATATGTCCGCACTTTTAAAACTATTTTGAAACTAATCTCTAGATTTCCTAAGAGGTATTTTCTTAATTTTAATGCAATAATTCTCCTGCTACTTTATGTTTGGATATATTCTTTTAATATATTGCTTTATTTTCCTGGCCATAGTTCAAGCTGCATGTGTATATATTTTCTTAAAGGCATTACAAAAAATATTTTAGTCTACATACATATGGTCTGGCTGATCAGAGGGAGGTAGTACTTTTTTAGCCTATGTGATAGATACTATGCTGTGTTTATTATGCAAGTGTCGTTGAAACATATTTTAAATTTCTTTAGTTCTGTGAAGTTTTGAATGACTACAGTGAACGAATATCGAATCATTCTAAATAATGTAACGCATATTTTTCCATAGGCGCTCCTGGGACTTGCTTTGAACATGTTTGCGAACACGGAGCTTTGTGCCTCATGAAAAACCGGCATCCTGTTTGTGAATGTCCTCAGTGCGCGGAAGAATTTGATCCTGTCTGCGGCACCGATGGCATTTCTTACATCAATGAATGCAAACTCCGTCGAGAGGCGTGCGAACAAATGAAGAAGATTGCAGTGGCTTACCAAGGTCTTTGCAGTAAGTAAATAAATATTCATCGATTTTTCCCTGTGCTTCCCTGTCCCCAAAATGCAGGTATTCAATGTAATTTCCTATTTCATTGACGGATTTTGCTATTCATTGTTATTTAGTCGTATTCCTTTATATTCCCTATAATTATTGTCAACTTACTTCGTTTATTCTGATTTCGTATAAGCGATTTGAAAATTCCACGATTAAAATTCTGGCCTGATAAAAATTAGTTTTTTACATTTCTGGTTCTCAAAATCCTAATAAAGTTTAAATTTAACATATTTTGATTTTGTTAATTTTGACATCTGTTTAGATTGCAGGATTAGATTAGAATAAATAGCAGGAATAAAATGTATTCATTAATATAATTTATATATATTTTTATATTTTTGAAAATAAGAATAATGTAAAAGGTAAAGTCGATAGCAGAATACATAGTTCGTATGGAGAAAACTGGCTGACATTCACTTTAGAGACACACAAAAATTGCGAAATTAATTATGCGTTGAGCACATGTAATCAGCGCAACAAAAAATCACGAATTGGAAAAATAGTAATGATATGAACACGTTTTACAAGCTTGATAAACTTTGGATTTTGACTATGGTTTGGATCGTAGTGTGAATTCTAGATAATATTTCTTTTAAATGTATCAGGCCTACTATTTATTCGCACTGACTTTGCGAACATTCTGGAGTCCTGAGTAGAACAGAGAGTTTACTTAATTAACCGCGTTTATTCTGGACGGAACTGGGAAAGAAGAGAGGACAGTAAAGTTTTAAAATAAAATAAACGTTAGTAAAACTTAAAATCCTTACAAATGGATTGCAAAAAATTTACTTCACTCCTTTTTTAAGCATAGATTACATGCTTAAAAATAACTAGAGAATGTATATAGGATAAAATATAAAAAATCAAAAATCCGTGTTTTCTGTATGGTGCCGTTGATATTAAACGTAACGGACAGCAAAAAAATCACCTTTTTTGGAGCATAAAATTTAGATCCGAGTCAACATAGAATGTTGCTGATAAAGGAAGAATCCGATGAAAATTACATTCTCGGACACATAAATGACATGAAGCATGGCAACTATTACCAAGGTTATTAAACTCAGAAATGCATTAATGAATATGGATTACTTGGAAGAATGATTCCTCTGAATTGAATTCCTTCAAATTCATACAAACATAAGAAAATTATCTTTAAAACAAATATTACTTTCATCATAAAACGATAATAATAAAAGACACATTGTAATCATAAAAACCGTTTATGAAACATACTACTATTGATTTTCAGTTAAACCAACTTTGTAATCATATTAAATTACATTTGAATCGACCAATAGATTATATAGAAACAATATGCACTATAGTAAATGCTTTTCAATTCAAAATGGAAGCACATTTTTTCCATTAAAAGAATTAAGACAGTCTATTCATGGATATTTTGGGATATATATTATTCATGGATATATATTAACATTTATTTAATGACCATTTTTTTATACTGCGTAACTAGGTCCCTGCGATTCAGAAGTAGCGTAAAGAATATTCTTTTATTATGCTAACAAAAATATAGTTTAAATAAACATCTTCGTTATTAGCTACGCTGAATAGCATAATATTCAAATTTAATCTTGTTCTACGCATAACGCTCAGTAAAACCCTAACCATCTCAGTAGAACTCTAGATATGCGAAAGTTTAATTATCCAAATCCTTCCTTTGCTTCATTTTCGCACCAAAATAAATTTAAGACTGATATTTAAATTATTTTTTTATTGATTTATCAAAAACAATAGGTATGGCTATACTGAAGTATATATATTTAAAGATGTAATAACTGGACTTAAATGAATGCGTATGACGTATAAAGCTATCTACACTTTTCCTTTTCAGGAAATATGTTGCCAATAGTAATCAATAGAAAATAAGTTACTGTTTTTGATTTACTTCTTATGTTATTATTTAACAATTACGATAGTTCGTTTTTTGAAAATAGTCTAAATAAAACGTCTGTGATTTTGTCAGCTTCTTTTTCATTACAGAAAATCTATTTTATTTTAGTTGAAATTGACGAGTTGTGGGTTTAAGCAAATAAGTGTACTTCCATTGTACGTTTTGTTCCAAACACACCTGTTTTGCACTTTTGTTTTAAAAGCACATATGTACATATATATATATATATATATATAGAGAGAGAGAGAGAGAGAGATATTCAGGAAATAATAATAAAAACAAAATACGGGATGACTCATTGGAAAAAAAAGAATATATTTATACACCATCATTATTGGGTGCGTTATGCATCCCCATAATTTTATACAGCTTATGTCTTTTTAGATAAAGGACGAGGAGGAATAACAAAGAATGCGGGTCTTAATAAGCAGATACCGGCAAGGCAGCGAAAAAAGGGTTGCGCATTTAGCAGCAAGTTTTTTTTTTTTTTTTTTTTTTTTAATCTGATTGGACGAGAGCTATCCGCATTGCAGAATTACATAAGCAAGCATCTAACAAAAAAATCCAGGAAGACATTATAAAATATATTGTTACAAATTTATAACTTTATAAATTTATAACACATGTAAATAATTTTAGTGAAATTTTATTTAATATTATAGTATCGTTTGTTTCATGTAGTGCGACAGCCCTGAAGAGTACGGCTTCGCAGAAAAAACACGTTTACAGGATACAAGTCTATTTAACATTGAGGTAAAGGGCTATCTTTCGAAATTTACGAGATAGCGCCAAGCTGGTGACGAGAAGTCGAGAAATGTCGCCAAGCTTGACCACCATTTGGACACATTTTGGTCTGGTCTGTGTATAACCGTAACTGATTCTATTATTGAATAACTGTTGTAATTGTCCCTATATGTAATTGTAAAAGTATCCACCCTTATATGTAACTTTACCCATATATGCCTACTTTTAATTCAAAGAGATGGAAGGTACGGAAATTTCTCGGCTGCTGGTAAAATCTATACAAGACCGGAAAGACATCAGTTCTAAAATTGAGTTGACTTCGGAAAATTGAGAGATTTTTATGCAAGTTTCGCTCTTTGAATGCAGAAGCATTTACCTACATTTTCAAGCAGTTTAATCTGGAGCAGAAGTTGATTTACATACGTATAGGTATTTAAAGCAAACATAATGCTCTATAAAAATAGAAGAATAAACATTATTAGAAATGAAGAAACTAATTTATAAATGGCATTAAAATATCCTTTACGAGGGAACTCGAACAATATCATTAAGTTTTAACTTGTTTGTTACAGTATTTTTTGACAAAGTTTTACTTCTTAACTTATATAGACGGGATCAGTTAAAACTGCAAGCCGGTTTATCAGGAGTTTACTGTATATATTTTAAAGTGAATTTAATAACATTAGCCTTCAGATAAATATTTAGAGAAGATTTATTAAGTTATTTATGCATCTTATTTATTTTTTCTCCAGCTTTAACTATTGATCTAGAGCAAGGGTGTTTTGGTGTGGGGACCCCATAATATTTCCAAAAATTTTGTGGGACCCCAATTAGCATTGTACAAATCCGACATACGCGTGAGTTAACTACCAATTTCTTTACTTGTACTGCACTACACTATTGAAGTTTTAAGTCATTTAAAGTAAAATGAACGTTTCTATTATAAAATAATGAGTCGAAACATTTTCGTTTTTTCTTTGTCTGTAAAATCTTACTTTTAACTGTTTTCAAATCCATTATGTAAAAATATTTGGTAATTGTAAAATTATTATAATAAGTTAAAAAAATATTAAAACTGCTAACATTTTTGGCGACCCCGCTACTACAGGTGCCGCTACTCCTATTGGTGTCACGACCCACAGTTTGAAAAACTCTGATCTAGTGCATAAGACGCTCTGATGCTGAGTTCGGTTGCTTGAGATTCAAGAGATTTTCTGGAACTTTCTTGGTTTAATCGACATGTCACCTGACTACAAATTGTTTTTATTTAGAAAATACTCTGTGAAGGCATTTTTCGTAAGGCGAAATTAAGTTCTTTGTATTCAAATGCAGCCAAACCTATACTACATCCTTCCCTAATCACACCAGTCTCGATGTATAAAATCACTAAACACTATGAATTTTAAGTCTTACCTATCTCGCTTTTTCCAGGAATTTCTACATATGCAACATAGAGACAAATTCCATTGTAAAAGTTGTTCATAAATGTAGCCTACCCAGATCAGTTCGTCTTTCATTTTTTAGCAGATCTAGTTACTTTCTTAACTGTATAAATGGTTTTTATTTAAATAAGAATTATATAAAATAAAAACGTCTCAAATAACAATTGATAAATGTTTATAAAATTAGGTTAAGTTTTAAAGAAAATATGAAGGTTAAATCCATACTCTTAATGATCACTGCGCCTAATTTTTGACAGAATTTGCTTCTTTTGCCAATCACTAGAATATTGTGATAATCTGTCGCAAAAATATTTAATGGTAGTGCATGTAATATATCAAGGATTTACCCAGGCGTTAAAAGAGAATAAAGAAGAAGTAAACCTCTGCCCTTCCCTGCTTGTATGTTCAGTTCCTAGATAAAATCTTTGTCGTGGAACATTGTTAAGGAAACGATAAATTATTCATTCATTAATTACACGGCTTATGTAATTATTTAGCATCGTAATATACTTTTACGTAATAAACCACACAAAACCATAAAAATCAAGACAATAGTTTGTTCTCTATTTTTTGTTAAATATTTTGTTATTGTATTAAATAGTTAATTGCAAGTTAAATATTATATGTCAGAAAAGGAATAAGATAAGAATGTACGAATGCCAACATCCAATTTTATGCAAATGCCAAAAAAGACATGAGATCTTAGAAATAAAATACACCCCTCCACCCCACTTTTTTGCGCACATCAGGAATAAGGGGACGAAAGCACGGTTTGTACTATTATTTTGCATTTCAGTGCATGTTAACGATGTGAATTCTTATGAAACTATAAACAGAATGTTTTGAATACAAAAAACACC